GAATCCTTTAAATACAGCAGGCTGGTTAACAACACTCTTTGTTGGGCGCCAAATTTAGAAGACATTCATTTTCGCTTTACAGGGACTTCAAAAGGCCAGATCGCCCAGCCCTATTCTGGCCTCAGAGTGGTGAACTGTACAGCCCATAAGAGATTTACAAAGGGGATTATTTATATTTCCATGTCTTCCTACGGAGAAAAATCTGAACAGATTGTGTTGGCCATCAGGGGTTCCACTGTACCCCAAAAGGATGAAGCAAGTTACATCCGGCTATGCAGTGTCAAGTCGGGCTTGACACCACCCAAAAAAAAAAAAAAAAAAAAAAGTCTTTGTTAAGTCTGTTCTACTTCCACATTCAAAGCTTTGTGCGCTACTACGCTCATAGCGGGCGGGCGGGGGCTGGGTGTTGGGGGTGGAGGGGCGTCACGCCTCCCTCCTCGCTTTGCACTGGCTGAGGGGGATCTCCGCTCTTATTGGCTGCACCGGCGCACACCGGGGGGGATTTGGGAGGTTCTCCTTTGTTTACATGCTGACTGGGAAAACCCAATAACAACCGTTACCTTGGGCAACCAGACGATCCACAGTTATCCACATGAGAGCGCACGCACACAAACCAACACACAAAAGTGGCGATCAAAACAACTGTCTTTGTTCTCTCTGACTCAAGACACTAAATATGGCATCCGTATGATAATTTGGAGTTAGCAAGGCAGACAATTGTTTGACAATTTTATCACGCAGTCAACCGGCTCGCTAAAGTTGGCTTCGGGCAGTAACAGAAAGAAGTGTCTGTCCCTACTTGTGTTTAGAATTAGATCATATATCTTGATACTGTACTGGCTAACAAAGATCTTAATCCAATCCAATGCAGCCTCGACACTCAATCTCTCTATACAGTACTCCTACCTCTCGGTCTGGAAAGGAGCTTGGACGTTGTCATTCGTCCTCAGGGGCTGCTGCAAAGTGGCCTTGCACAATTATGGATCCATATCATGATTGAAGCCTCACACTGGGCTGGCCCAATCAATTGAGTTCTTTGTGAAAGCCATTTCTCAATAGGTGTGTGTTTCAGTCTTATCTTATCTCATTTCTAAGTGAATCAACATACGGTGCCAAGCAAACAAAAAGAGCCGGCGTGACTAACTTTTACATATTGCACACGCACTGAAAAGTCAATACTTGACTTGTCATATTATAATCTAAAGCCGCAGGGCAAACGTAAACCGAGCCTTTGTCCTGTTATGTCAAGCTTGTTTACTTTGCGCCCTAATAGTTCATTTATAAGGCAAAACAGATTTTACAGACAACAGCAGCGGGCAAAAACACAAAAACAAAGGAAGATTTCAATAAATGGCTGGAGCACGATGCGAATCCAAAATTTGCTCTTAATCACTTGTGACATTATAAAATATTCATTTTCTGCAAAGTAGGCCATGTCGAGCTTTGATTTGAGGATCATGACAGTATTTGATTAGAAATTTTCCTCAACACAATATCAAAGATAACCTCAGCAAAAATGCAGTTTTAAATGGTGATTTGTTAAAGGGGGGGAAAATATTCAAATCCCTCTTACCATTTGTGAAAAAGGACTTATTTTACTTGAAATCATGAATTTACGATAGCAAATCACACCTTCAGTTCATTTTCACCGACCACACCCAAGCCTGATTACCTCCAGACCTGTTCAATCACGAAATCACCTTAAGAGAACCTGTATGACAAAGTGAAGTCGGCCAAAAGACCTCAAAAAGCTGCAACAAAAGGCCATGATGCAAATAAAATAAAGAACAGATGAGATAAATGAATTGACACTCTGGAAAGGATAACAAATCATTCCTAAAGCGTTCAGACTGGAACAAATCATGGTCAGGGCCATTTTCCACAAATTGAGAGAGAGCATGGAACAAGAGTGGCCACCTACAGAAATGACCCCAACAGCACAGCACCAAATCATCCAGGAGGCCAAAAACAAACCAAGAACAACATGTGAAGAACTGGTGGCCTCCCTAGCCTCAGTTAAATTTAGTATCCATGACTCAACAGAGAGAAAGTGACAGAGCAAAAATTACATCCATGGCAACTTCCCATGTGAAAGCAACTGCTGACAAAAAAAAAAAAAAAAATGTAAAGGGTCATCTTACTTTTGCAAAACACGTCTGAACAATTGCAAAGACTTTTCCGAAAATGTTCTATGGATCGACGTCCCAAAAGTTGAACTTTTTGACAGGTATAATTCTTGCTCCATCTGGCGTAAATGTAACACAGCATTTCAGAAAAAGAACATTATACCACCAGTCAAACATAATGGTGGCACTATGTGGTCTGGGGCTGTTTGCCACTTCAGGACCTGGATGACATACCGCGATTGATGGAATCATGAATTCTGCTCTTTACCAATTTTGTGACCGTAATCTTAAGTAAGTTTGGGTTCTGCAACAGAAAAATGACCCAACGATTTTTTTCTCTCCCTCAATAAAAACCTTCACTTAAAAAAATTATTTTGTCTTTAATTAATATTGATCATTTATTTGATTATGGGAAACATTTAAGTGTGACAAACCTGCAAGAAAATTAGAAATCAGGAACGGGGCAAACACTTTTACACACCACTGTACATCACTAATCGGTGCAATTCATTGCCTTCTAGCTGGCATTGATGATGTATATCCAATCTATCAGTTATATTGGGAGATATGATGCATTTCTTCTCATCTCAAAATATCCAATCTCCTATATATTTTCCATTTAAACTGACAGTATGCATATAAATACCCACTTGAGCAAAAAACAACAACCAAAAAAACGAATAATTTGGAATTGTGTCACTTAAACCATGCAGTGCAAATCTAGCCGAAGGCTATGTTCACACAGCAACTCCATTCCAATTTCTTTGCTTGTATGTGACATGTATGATTTTTGAACAAAGTGCAATTCAGATTTTTTTTTTCAAATACGTCCTGGGCCACTTTTGTATGTGGATATAAATCAGACATGGATCTGATGCGTCAGCTGTATGAACACTCATCCTCACACATCCCACTCATCAAAAGCCAAATACACACTTTGAATGCTGGGGAGACTGCTTGCGAGACGCAACAATCATCTGCGAATCTGCAAAGTTACAGGAACAATGTTGATTTTGTATTTAACTTTGATTTAAGATCACTTGTAAATGAGGCATTAAGTGGACATTTGTGGTGATAGCAGTGATTCTGCCACGCAGACAGTTCATTCCTTACACGCTGCAACGACGTGATGTTATCTTCAGTCGATATCTCCTTGAAATGTTGGGAAATGAGGAGATCGAAGAACATTGATTCCCCAAAATATTTCTACCTCCTCCCGCGTCATTCCTATGTCGGGGGTGTTCCGTTCACATTAGAAGTTGCATTTGTTTTTGCAGCGTGGAAGAGTACATAGGAAGGTTGAATCAAACAAAAAATCTGAATTGGGCATGGCGCCCTGCAGTGTGAATGTAGCCTAAGACACCGGAGAAATGGTTTAAATTGTGAGAAGACTACGTAAAATGTCTCCTTTAAGGTGAAGTCCTGAAGGGTCATTCTTCAAAGCAGCTCACGACGTCACTTTCGAAGTACTACAAGGCATTCTTTGAAATGCACCAACAACAAGGCCCGAGTACAAAACTCAACAATCTCTCAAGTAGTGTAAGACTTGAGGATCAGCACATTCTGCTGACGCACACACTTTTCACCCACAGACAGACCGGCAGGACTGTTTTCAAGTAATACCATCAAATACACACACACACACAAACATGCAGTCAACCCTCATAGACACACACCCAAATCCTTATCCAAATACCTAGCTTCTTCTAGGTCAAAACACACACTGCCAACTCGGTAATGATACATCCCGAGAGATGACCCAGAACCACTAATGGACATGTAGGCCCATCAAGAACGGCAAACCAGTGTATTTCATTCAGAGTGAAATTCCTTCGAGCGCAACAACCATATGAGCATTCCAGTTGTAACGTTCGCAACAAAAACACGCCTGACAGCATCCACCCTTACGGGAAACAAGAGACGGAAAGAAAAGAGAGGGGAGGGGGTTCAAAGATCAGAAAACAGATGTAAATCCTTTAGCAAACGCAACTGCAAATGGCTAACACATGTTAGGGCGCCTTCAACTCGCAGATCGCTAGGACAGCTCCTCGACTGCACAGGACGAGGGCAGGACAGGATACCGGCTGTCACTTGTGGCTGTCACACCTGACCACCTCAGAAAGTTGGCTAAAGTTGCGCTTTCACCGCCACCTGGATCAGGCCATCTTTGAAACACTGTCCAATTTGACCCCAAATGTTTGCATAACTCATTTTGGTTAGTTTGACTAAAATGTGAGTATACCTTCACAGATTTCTTGCAACATATACTTGCTTAATACTGTTGGCCTGATGACAGCTCAATGTGCAATGCACTCATACCCATTCGTTGAGTCGTCTTTAACTCGAAAGAAAATCTTCAATCTAGATAATCTCCGTGAATCATAGACATCTGCACGTGTCATTGTATACGAAACAAAGGCTGTAAAAGGTACGCTAAGATCAGCAGTACGTTGTTGAGGTAAACGATTTCGATCAGTTTAAATGTCGCAAAGTGAGACAAGTGACGAAAGTATACAGACGTACGAATGTAGTGTGCGTGTGTGTGTGTGTGTGTGTGTGTGTGTGTGTGTAAACTACACGTCACAGTACATCTTCTCCTCCTGTCCCGTTCGCTTACTATAGCGCCACAGCACAAGGACAACAAAAGAGTTTGCATTTTGAAATTTGCCTTCATTTTTCCCGCTTCTTGTTTTACTCTTGTGTGGTTATGCTACACTAAATGACCTCCCCGTGTCCCCCACACAAAAACACCAACCCTTGACGCTCAATCACAATCGGGCTGCTTTTGTTACAGGACGCTCATGAACGCAACCTCAAACCAGCACGAGACCCAGACATGCACGCACACACACATTCAGAGAGACACACACTCACCACAAAGTCAAACGGCGTCACCACTGCTTCCAGCTGTGTACAAAAAAAAAGTGGTGAAACGGTCAAAAAGAGTGCATCTCACGGTCACCGGTTGGCTTCGAGGTGTGTCTTCGTCTTTTGGAAACTGCTCAAACGCTCCATACGCACACTCCGCCGGGAACCACAAGATATGTAAATTTCAAAACTATGGGAGGGGCTGAGTGACGTCACAGGAGGGCCTCCCCTTTCTCTCGAGACTCTTCACACAGAAGTGGGACGTAACCAACTACGCGATTCGTTATTTTTCAGCTACCACCTCACTTGATTGTTAATTTTTTATTACTTTTTACTTTTAACAGCGATTTGTGCTTTGAATTCCTTATTTAATTAAAATGATATTACAACACATTGTAAGAAGTAATGTCTAAAAAAGGGAGACAAAATCCCACTTTTGACCTCTTCATGATGATATCACATGTCACTAGATGGTGACGGTGCAATTAACCTGTGTAAAAATATCTGTTGCTATTCATACATTGGGAAAAAAGTTATTCAATTTATCAGATAATTATTTTTGTACTTTTTGTGACATCTTTGTTTGATGGTTCACTGTTCGAATGTAATTTATATGCCTTGGCTCAATAGGTTAAAAGACACTGGTTAAAATACCTGCTTATGATTGAAGTTTGTTTGGGCGAATTGCCTAGATTGCAGTTTGAGCCTTGGAATTCATCAAAAATGGTTGCTTCAAACCAAAATTGCTGCCTTTCTGTTCAGTTTTATGCATGGGTCCATGTGTCTTTTTGTGCGGCCTTTTATGAAAGACAAGTGAACTGAATTTCATGTCAATCGGTGAAAATAAGTGTCAGAGATTCGTTTTTTTCCCTTACTTTCCAGGGAGCGCTACTGAGCTTGTTTTGTGAGTGGGCACATTTGGGACTTCTTCAATACAAACATTTTAAATCTGCCTCTGCATTGTGATGTCAACGCGCTAACCACTCGACCACTGGGCCGCCACGTATTAAATATGAATTAAAATTTTAGAAATGTCTTTCTTTATGTGACTGTTGCTGGTTAGACCTTATTTTTCAACAGCCTTGTAAGATATAGCGATCCCCCTCCACCCCTGAAAACATTTCAACACATATTTGGTGGTACAGTATATGTTGGTGAAAAATACAGTAAAATAAAATAAAATAAATAAGCACTATGTGCTGCTTTCTGACAGTGAAACCTCTCTACAGCAGCAAAAAGACAATTAGCCAGATGTGTTTATACACCAACATTCTAAAACATGCTCTTCGGTAAGTGATGCCTCTTGGGACATCTGGCTGGGAAAACTTCCGTTGTGAAAAGCCTGTTATGTGTTTTCAATGAGTGCTCATGCTGCTCATTAATAAATTTGCGATCATGTTCACCGCCTCTATCATGGGTTATGGTGGCATAAAGAACTTGTAATTGCAGTCAGTTAATGGTGTGATTACAGCTTTGGTATGTTAATGTGTATCAAACATACATATTATGTAACAAGCAGTAACCTAAATCATCAACTGTCTGCGTGCTTTGCAAGAATGACATTAAGGCATCCTCACATTTGATGACCAACCTCCATAACAAAATGTGTTTCAAATTAACAATTTTTGGGATAATTTTGTTGGAAGAAGGCATTTATTTGGAAGCAACAACCTATTTTGTTTGATCACAGACATATTAAAAATGTAGGAATTGAGCTCTGAAGCTCTCTCAACATACACACAATCGTGTTACTAAAACCTTTTCAACCATCTAGAGGAAGAAAAAAACATTTGAGCTTCAGTACCAAATAATTTAGCAGAAGCGACATCAACAAGCTAATTGCTGCGACCATGGGTAAGTCCCCTCTTTCAATTTTCATTTTTTTTTTGTCAATGATTTCAGCTGCAATTGAGTGTGTCACTCAAACCAATGCAGTGCTGTTATTCATATTATCAAGACTGAATTATGTCAGCATTTTTTAAGCTAAGTTTGTTGTTAACCAGTCAAAACAGCAGCTAAGATAGCTATCATGTACTCTTGAATATGTCACTCAAACCAATGCAACCATTTTACCCATATGATCAGAAAACAATGTAGTAATACTCCTTTCTCTCACTGCATTGCGAAGGTTGAGGTTGATCAATTTGTATAGCAACTAAGAAAACTAGCATGTACGCTTGCGCAAAAACTCCAAATTAGCATTGATACCATGTTTCTGTAAGTAGAGTAACTGTAAAGTTAGTATTCAAACACAAGGATGAAATTACAGTGTACTTTAATTACAAAACTCTGCATTACTCAACACTATTTTGGAAATGTATTTTTTTTTAGGGGGCAGCACAGTGATCGACTGGTAAGCATGTCCGCCTCACAGTACAGAGGTCCTGGATCCGAAACCGGCCTCCCACCTTCCTGTGTGGAGTTTGCATGTTCTTCCTGACCCTGCGTGGGTCTTTTTCGGGTACTCAGGCTTCCTGCCACATTACATAAACATGCATGGTAGGTTAATTGAACACTCTAGTCTAAATTGTCCTTATGTGCGATTGTGAGTTTGAATGGTTGTTTGTCTATGTATGCCCTGCGATTGACTGGCAACCAGTTCAGGGTGTATACCCTATCTACTGCCCGAAGACGGCTCCAGCACGCCCGCAACCCTCGTGAGGATAAGTGGCTCGGATATTGGATGGATGTTTTTTTTTAGTTGCCTAAGGTTGCACAAAACACAGCAAAATATATGTTTTGACAAATGAAATATCTAAGATATGAATGTATTGCTGATGCTTGAACTGGATAAATCAAATTACATGATGGGTTTCAAACGCATTATTGTTGAAAACAGCAACAACAACAACAACAACAAAAACTAAAATAAATGCTGTTTTTCAAAAATGTTGGTGCTTGCTGTGTGTGCCCAAGGGTTTCCACCCCTGCTTTAACACAATAGTGGCAGTGTTCATCCGTCATTCACTTCTTTGATTATAGCAGATCAGCGTGATCACTCTTCTACTTTAATTACAGGGACCCGGTCAGCTGCTTGGCGCAGACGAAATATCCTGAGTATTCTTTGTGATGAAGAGTAATCTTCTTAGTAAAGAAGGGTCACTGGATCTACTTATCCACCACCCTTCTGTTAAATCCGCTCGATAGAAACCCTGATTTTGATGGTGTATGTTGCCCTGCTTATTTCCTGGAAGAATAACACGCTGGGCCTCTGCCTCCATTCCAGTCGCCGCCAAAAACTTCCAAGAATTACTGGAAATGACTAAAATAACACACAGAGGCCAGGGCGTTGTTGTTAAGTGAAGTGTCCTTGAAGACCCTCTCATAATTTAGGAGCGTGTGACTAATAGGAGCACTGAGTTGAACAATGGGATGAGTCACAAGAGGGGTCATCTTTGACAGAGGTGACACTCCCCACCAAGGACCTGCAACACAGTCAGCCTCCCACTACACAGGAAACAGATGTGCGTGTGTGTGTGTGTGTGTGTGTGTGTGTGTGTGTGTGTGTGTGTGTGTGTGAGAAAATGAATCGTGTGGGTCAAAACATTCACTTGAAGACAGAATTGGTTGAATAAAACTTTCATGGGCCAAAATGTGATCAAGGCATAATGGGAAGTGTTCACTTCTTCAAGTGAGGCAAGCTCTACAGCGTTGCCTGCTGCGGTTTCCGTTTCAAATGGTTACAGAGAACTTCTGTACCTCTTTTAGTAGGTGCAGCTGTGATGTGGACTCGAGATTCAAGGCTGTGTGTGTTGAGACACACCCGGAACTCTGTTTTGAGCAACCTTTTTACAGTTGTATAAAATACTCAAAATTCCTCCCAGAGCCACTGTGCTATTTACACGGTTTCTCTTGTGGTTTACTGCTTCACTACTTTACTAGTTTCCTTCTGACTAAAGGTGATCATTACCCATAACTCGAGACAAGTGAGCCAAGCATGGCCAACTGAATATTTACCATCTAAAAAGTTCTTTTCTATTTGAAGCATTTTACTGTTTTTTTCATAAAAGGTTGGTTGATTAAAATGTATGTATTATTTTTTAAAAAATGTATATTTTTAAATAATTGGGTCATCAATGAAATGGTTGATTGAATATTGTAAAACGTTTTTTCTTTTTGCAGATTTTTATTTTTAAAACAAAGATAATCATGTTTAAACACCTCCCCGCCCCGTAAAACCAGTCAAATCTTCTGCCTGTAATTCATATTTTGATTGTTAGAAGTGTTAAGGGACCGAAAAGGAAGGTATTTTATTCATTACATATTTTATTTGTTCATCAGCTGATTAATCGGCTATCAGAATTTTTCTCTTCCCAATATAAGAATCACCATCGGTCTCAAAAAATCCACATCAATCGAGCCCTACTTTTGCTTTACCTCACCCACGCACAACCTGACAAATAGACAAAGTCTACAAAGGAAAGAGAGCCTTGACTGTACATAACTGTGTTGTTGCCTCTTCCTGTGTATACAATATATGTGGGAGGGGGGCGTGTATGCAGCATATGTATGTGTGTGAGGGGGAGCGGGGGGTGGGAGGGGGGTCCTCCCTGGATGTCATGACCTGGAATTGGACTTTTTGCAGCCCCTCCCACCTCGGAGTGCCTAATGTTGGAGACAGATGTTTGTGTTATCATTTGTTTTCCCACAGTTCTCGTGTGTGCACATGTGTATGCATATATGGGGTCTCGCACGTGGGGGGGGGGGGGGGCTTCTTGTTTTTTTTTCTTTCAGTGTTTTCGACAGGATGTGGTGGTTATCTGCAAAACATGGGGATTTGCACCGCATGGTTCAACTGACACAATTCTGTCGTTTTGCTGCCAAATAGGCCACTTGCAATACACGTCATGATAGCGTAAAGATCAATAGCCCGTGGCATTATGGGGAAAAATGGCAAATGTAAATCATGCGCTACAGAAATAATAAAACCATATGTTGCGAATTACCAATGTTTATTTCATTTTTGAACATACTGGTATAGTATTGGCCAAATTCTAAAAAAGACAAAACATGTTTTTATTGACTCAAATATGCACAACTCAATACCCTCTGGCATTATAGTAAAATGCTACGTTTGTAGGACTTAGCCTACAAGTACGTTCGAATGTACTTGAGAATATGTTCAAACGTACTTTCGAGTACGTTTGAACATACAGTATTTAAATATGTTTGAATGTATTCGC